ATTAGAGCTGATTCTTATTTTATACAAACTAAGAGAAAGAAAGTTAATAAATGGCATTAATGAGGATAAAAAGCAAAGATTAAAATACTTACAAAGATAATGTTCATTAAACATCATTTTTTCTTTTTGTTCAGGGCATACTATGTGCTAAACTTTGTTCTGTAAGCTTGGAATTCAACAATGAACAAAACTGACAAAGAACCCCTTCATGGGATTAATAGTCAAATGTAGAGGAATATTGACAACAAACAATAAATATAATAGGCATTTAAAATATGTTAGAAAGTGATAAGTGCTATGGAGAAAATGAAAAAAATGGAGCACTAATGGGGATTAGAAATTCCGTGTGTGTGTGTGTGTGTGTGTATGTAATTTAAAATAGGGTAATTCAATGTGGTCATTATTAAAACTTAAAGGAAGTAGCTATGCTACCTGCTAGAGCAGGCAGAAGAAACAGCAAATGCAAACCTTCTCAGGTGGGGGTGTGCCAGGAATGCTTGAAGAATTGCAAGAAGGCCATTGTTGTGGAATAAAGTTAGCAAGAAGAGAAGAATAAGAGATGATGTCAAAAATGCAGCAAGAATTGAATCCTGTAAGACCTTGTAGGCTAGGCCATTGGATAGAATTTGGCTTTTATTATGAATCAAATGGAAAAACACTGAAGATTTTGAACAGAAGACTGACAAGGAAACTTCTTGGCTTCTGTGTTTTTGTAAAACTCAAGGAGATCAAGGGAAGAAGTGGGGAGACCATTAATTGGGTACTGAAATAATCCAGGGATGTATAATGGTGTCTAGAACCAGAAAGTAATAGAAATGTGAGAACCAGTCAGATTCAGATATATATTGAAGGTGAGGCAAATAGAATATATAATTTAAAAGGCTAATTCACATATGTTTACAGTTGTAAAATTTCTAAGTAAATTAGAAGTAATCCAACATTGTATAAAAAATATCATGGACAAAAATTTCCCAAGTTAGGTGAAATACGTAAATTTACAGATCAAAGAAGCTCAGGAAAAGCAGGAAAAATTTAAAGATAAGCGCACTTACATCAGGTGATCTGTGTACATCTAATGTACAGTATGGGTAAGGAACAACTAATCTATGGAATGAGGCAGCAAGTCTGCAGTGCAGCTGGGGGTTGAGTGCTAAGCCCTGTGACTCAAAGTGTGGTCTGAGGACCAGCAGCACCTGCATCCTCCAGTTAGAAATGTAGAATCTCACACCCTACCTCAGATTTATGAAATAAAATATGTATTTGAATAAGACCCCCAAATGTTCTTGGGCACATTAAATTCTGAGAAGCATTAAGACACCTGAGCTCACTGCAGTCTTTGAATGGCTGGGTTAAGGCTATAATTAAAGGTATCTTCCTAGCCCTAATCTCCTCCACTTAACCAAGCAGCCTTCAATCTTAATTTCATTTTACTAGTGTGCCTCCCTAATGGAAAGAGACATTACTTTATTATGATGTATTAAGTTGGATTTCAGATGAAAGCCAGACTTCTTCAAAAGTCTAAAAGAATTTTTTGAATAGGAAGAAAGCTTGTTCCATTACAGTGCCCATATACAATGGCTTTCAATTCCAGCTACATATTTAGAACTGCCCCAGGAGCTTTAAAATATACTGGTCCACACCAGATCTACTGAATTATAATTTCTGGGGGTGGAGCCACAGATTGGTATATTTTAAAGTTCTCTAGTTAATTCAGCGTGCAATTAGCTTTGAGAACCACTATGAATGAACTCTCAGTTTATTGACTTATATAACAATGCCTCCTTTAATCTGAATATAGTGGAGTCAGTATAGCTTTCAAGTTTATCTTCCTTGAAAACTGTTATCAATCACTTCATTAAAATGTATTAATCTGTATTATAATTACAATTAAATATTTAGTACATGGTGAGGTGGTATGCATTTCATTCATCCTTATTTCATAGTAAACAGTTGATTATGTCTTTTTTAAAATTTAAAGAGTATTTATTTATTTTCTTTCCAAGTTTTTATTCATTTATTCATTCATTCATTTTTTGTGAGAGAGTGTGAGCATGAGCTGGGGGGCAGGAGGAGGGGCCGGGATGAGCAGAGAGAGAGAGAAACTCAAGCAGGCTCCACACCCAGAGTGGAGCTTGATGCAGGGCTTTATCTCATGACCCTGAGATCATAACCTGAGCCGAAATCAAGAGTCGGATACTTAACTGACTAAACCACTCTGGTGCCCCCCAATTTTTTATTTAAATTCCGGTTAGTTAACATTCAGTGTAATATTACTTTCAGGTGTAGAATTTAGTGATTCATCACTTACATACAACACCCAGTGCTCATCACAAGTGCCCTCCTTAATACCCATCACCTATTTAACTCATCTCCCCCATCCACCTTCCCTCCAGTAATACTACATTTGCTCTCTATAGTTAAGAGTCTGTTTCTTGGTTTGCCTCTCTTTTTTACTCCTATGTTCATTTATTTTGTTTCTTAAATTCCACATATGAGTGAAATCATATGGTATTTGTCTTTCTTGGACTAATTTATTTCACTTAGTATAATACTCTTTAGCTTCATTCACGTCATTGCAAATGGCAAGATTCCATTCTTTTTTATGGAGTAATATTTCATTACATATATATACATACCACATCTTCTTTATTCATTCATCAGTTGATGGACATTTGGGCTCTTTCCATAATTTGGTTATTGTTGATAATGCTGCTATAAACATCAGGGTGCATGTATCCTTTTGAATTAGTATTTTTGTATCCTATCCTTTGGTAAATACCTAGTACTACAATTGCTGGATCATAGGGTAGTTATATTTTTAACTCCTTGAGGAAGCTCCATACTATTCTCCAGAGTGGCTGCATGAGTTTGCATTCCCACCAACAGTGTAAAAGGGTTCCCCTTTCTCCACATCTTCACCAACAATTGTTGTTTCCTGTGTTGTTAAATTTAGCCATTCTGACTGGTGTGTGGTGCTATCTTATCATTTTGATTTGTATTTCCCTGATGAGAAGTGATGTTGAGCTTCTTTTCATGTGTCTGTTGCCCATCTGTATGTTTTCTTTGGAAAAATGTCTATTCATGTCTCTGCCCATTTTTTAACAGTTGATTATATTAATAAAGTAATGACAAGCATTTAACTAGTAATATCCAAATAATATTAATATTTAACTTTATGAAATAAAACATTTCATTTCACAGCGGTTTGCCTTGTTATATTTTTATGTAAAAATTCACTTGTACCCCCTCAGTGCCTGCCAGCTAAATAGTACAGGGACATCTATAGGGTGCTATTTGACCGGAAGACAATAGCTGTTATTAAAAATCCATAAAATAGGGGCACCTGGGTGGCTCAGTTGGTTAAGTGTCTGACTCTTGATTTTGGCTCAGGTCATGATCTTAAAGTCATGAGATCAAGCCTACTGTCAGGCTCCACTCTGGACATGGAGCCTGCTTAAGATTCTCTACCTCTTCCACTACCCCTCATACTCCACGCCCCACTCATGCACACACACTCTCTCCCCCCTCTAAAAAAAAAAAAAAATCCATAAAATAGATATATCCCAATACAGTTTTCTGGATAAGGGGCCAAAATTGCATTATCAGATGAAATGATAAACATAGACTACATTTTGTTCTTCCAACACAAGTTAGAAATGACTAGGAAATCAGATAACTAAGTGGAGTGGGTGAACATGTAACTTAGTTGAACAAAAGAAAGCATGTGACTTAAATAAAGCAAGCAGGCTTAAGTCTAAATCACTGCCAAATACTTTAAAAAATAAACTCCACAAAGTATAAAAAAGCTGAATAATAAGCAGTTAAAACCACTGCTCAAATAGCTTTTATTTCCATCTTGAAAATGAAAGCTTCAAGCACAGAATTCCATTGTAAATTGAATTTGGTTATTCCTAAGTCATCTGTTTGATTCCTTAGATTTTTCATTTCTGAAGAAGTATTTGTCCTTTAAGAAAGCATTGCAAAAATTATTTATATAAGACCTTATTAACATATTGTTCAGAATGACATTTCCAAGTGCAAAGATAAATACAAATGTTATCAAAGACACACAGTCTTTGAGTTTACTGTGCTGACTTGTTGGGAAGAGCTCAACACAGATGCTAGAAGATTTCTTTTTAAACCTGACCTTCTCCAATCAGAACTGGTCTGACAACTGATGATTTAAAGTCTTAATTTATGTTATTAGGTAATATCAACATAAAATTCAAGAGACCTCAGTCTACAGATGATCTTATTTAAGAAAGTTTCCTCTTTTCTATTAGGCTTAGAGTCATTGTTATACCAAATCTTTAAGTTAAATGAGAGTCCTTAATGGCCTATGAAGAAAATCTATAATAGTAAATTATATCCAAATATAAAGTCATTATATATTTATGATTAAATGCTTAATAAATGATGAACCATTTAATTGAGAACAATCCCATTATGTGCACCTTAGAAACTTTTCTCATAAATCTGCTACGGAAATATCACCATTTTGCCATTTGTAAATCTTAGAAGAGAATCACATAGGAAAAAACAATGGTTTTGGACAGGTTTTGGGGAATGTAACAATCAGTTTAAATAGGTACTGTTTTTTACCCATTGGGCAATTATAGTTTATTTTGTTCTTTTACAATTTTTAGAATAAGTAGAGCAGGCTCTGCTTCCATTAACTTTAAATGTCATGTTAAGAATGTATAATCAGATATTCAAAGGGCACAATTATGAACCATATGGAGGGTAGAGAAAATTGTTCAGGATTGGTACTGCCTCCAGACTTTTCTAGTAACCACTGGTATGACCTCAGGTTAAGTACTTCACTGATGTGGGCAGATGCCCCATCTTTAAAATCTGGAGGTTTGACTAGATCTACTCTAAGGTCACTTTCAGCTCTCAAAATAGCCTATGGCTTAAATTTTGGTTTAGTCATGATGTAGTGTGAAAAACTAACAAGATAACGTATTTTAATTTTGAATTCTGATTTCAAGAATACTTACAGTTAAGGCTGGTGGTCCTGGAGGTCCGGTATCTCCCTAAAATAGATTGAATAAAAGTTGCAGTTACTAATAATCTTTTCTTGCACATTTTATTTATGTTTTCTGAATGGATAGAAGCAATACATAGATAAATTTTGAAGGAAAAAAATAGAATTTCATCTTGATAGGAGTCTCTGCACAATGAAAAATATATCATGGGGTTTTAGCTCTCATGATATAAACATCACCTTGTGCACCCCCATGCTTTCTGCAGAATTTGTTTTGAAAAGCTAAAATAATCTAATTTTCTATTCTTTTGTCTACTAATCCAAAATTAGAAAGAATATCTCTTCAAATATGGTTACTCGCCAGTGGAGCAGCTGGGAAGTGTCACAACGACAGATAATTTTTCTGACAAAGTTAGTATGAGGATCAGCAGAAATAATAAGTGGATCTCCCCACTTCATGCCTCCCAGCTGCAAGAAGCAGTCCCATTGCCTCTTACAAAGCTCTGCTAAATTGATATTGTACTTGCCATCAATTTTAAGAGGTTTTGCCTATATTTACATATTTTTAAATACCAAAATTGCTTTGCTGACCTACGTGAATACAAATTACCAGGTGTATATGTTGAGAAACTTTTCAAAATCTTTACAAAATGGCTCATCTGAAGTTTACTATTTTCTGATTTATATGTCACCTATATGCTTTATTGTATCAGGACCTCTATTTATTCAATAAGAACTCTTAATCATTAAGATCAAGCATCATTGCTATAATGCTTTTTAGGTAGACATTATGGAGACCTTATACTTTGTGGCATGAAGCTCTGAGATGTGTTTTCATGTTGAGAGTATCTCTGTGACTTTTTCTTTTCTCATCTAACATAGTCACCTCAAAAGTTAAGACTTAGTATGGGGTAATCATTACTTTTTGGAACAATTGAATAAAAATAGCCAATACTCGTTAAGGAACATCGACATAGCTTAACTCGGTCACTGAGGACCAATTTGTAAGATCAATTTTAACATTGAGGTAAATATTGAAGCCAGACAAGGATTCCCAAATGTGTTGAGAATAGAGAACAAAACACAGTGTCAAACACCCACACATACAATTCTCAACAAACTGGGATCATCCTATGACCTTATTCTGAATGACTCTTGCTTTTAGTATTTCTAAATCTCTTTTCAAGGTCACTGCCAATATATCATTATAAAATGGCATGTGAGAAAAAGTGGCAGGAAATGAAGCATTCAGACTAAGACTGAGTTAGAAAGTTAACCTCCATCCCCCCCAAAGGCCACCTGCTTCACCATTATGGTAGCAGTTCAGTGCTATTGGCAAAGTTCCCTGATACAAGGCACAGTTGCTAATTTGGCAATGGAATAGCTAATACTGTTAAGTGAGAGAGAGAAAGTGAAATCTTATAAACACAAATTAATGCAACTAGCAGTTGTGCATTTAGTCTCTTCAAACTGATTAAATGAACCAAAAGGCTTTTCTTCAGATGCTTTTAACATAACAGCCTTTGGTTAATTTTAACAAAATTAATTTTTGGCAGTTTAATAGTATCACTGAAAAGTCCCTGCATACATTCTCAGGGTTTTCTTAAGAAAAACTGGCACTTCTCTGGGTGAATACGATACCTTTTCTCCTTTTGGGCCAGGTGGACCACGAGGACCCAAGTCACCTTTCAAACCCTGTACGAAGAATACAACCAATGTGATTTCTATACACAATTCACAGAAATGCTTCAATTTCTAACAAGTCATTAGTCACAAAATAAATCATAATTTACTGAACTCCCAAATCCCATTCTTCAGTTTGTAGTATAGAGAGAAAGAGAGACAACTGGCACTAAAATGATAAGCAACATCTGCGTTGTAGTGAGTACAGATACATTAAATCAGCGTGAGTCCTGAATACTGCATATTTGTGCAACTTCGCTTCCTGCTAAAATTACATTAATTCACCATCTGGGAGAACATCATTTAGATCTATATGAGCTTTTAAGTATCCACTTTGGATTAAATTTGTGGATGTTGTAAATATCTTTGATTTAGCATTGATTTGGCCTTTATAAAGCTTGCCAAAAAAATTCAAGAATTAAATAAAAAACATTTTTATGTTTCTATCAAGTAATCTAATTGTGGGGGAAAAATAAATGAAGGACATATTCTTTCCCTATCACTCACAGCCTGAAGCTACAATGTTGTCTCTTTCCTGTTTTAAAGTATGTTTTAGTTCTCTAATTCCTACTTTTTTTAAACCTGAATTTATAAAGATATGAAATGAAACCATATAAGACATAGACAAAGTATCAGATAAATATGTTCATGAGTTTTCTGGGCTCTTGGGTGTTTCAGTGGGTATTTGGTTGATCAGACTCAGAAATGACAGCTCTCAGGAAGACCACGATAGATTTCACTGGAGTTCTACAGTTGAAGGTTTTCACAGTGTAAACAGAAAGAAAGATAGACACATCCTGACTGTGTGGTGAATAGAAAAAAAAATATCTTCCTTCATCCTTAACACATTGGATGAGGGAAGAACAATAATGGAAAAAAGAAATATTCTGAAGCCATACAATGCACAGTATATCTAGACGTCTTACTTCTCTTGGCTGAGGGATCCATCTCTCGCTGAACTGACATTTTGTAGTCAATAAATAAGGTCAAATGCCATCAGCTTTAACTACTTAATATAGAAGCCCATGAAGAATTTCAAGAAATGAAGGAAAACTGGATACTTAAAATAATCTTGTTCCAGAGGTTATGTGAAAACTGCAGTCTTACATCTTAAGAAAAAAAGACTTAACAGATGAAAACAGCACCTGATTGGCAAAAAACACTTCACAATTGTAGAAATACCTTTCAGGATAAAACTCATAGCTATGGGTCTTCCACTGTTACCTTGGAGTATTTATAGAAAAAGGATGAGTGAAAAAGTAAATTATATTTGAGATGTGATATTCTCTTTTTATTTGAAATAGCCTTTCCTTCCTGAATAAGCAAAATGAGACTAGTCTGAATTGAGCTGTGCTGTGAGTGTGAAACATGGATTTTTCAATATTTAGTACAAAAAATGTAAAATAGCTCATTAATTATTTTTATAGTGATTATATATTCAAATGATAATATGTTGGATATATTCAATATATTAAAATTAGTTTCACCTGTTTTTTACTTTTTTAATATGGCTACTGGAAAATATATTTATATTTGTCTTGAAATTATATCATATTTAGAAATATACTGTATAAGTATTATATTAAATAGATTCTATTTCTATTGGATAGTGCGACTTAGAAGTATAAAAACAAGAAGTTGACAAAGACTCTCCTTCATCAAACTTTAGTCAGACTCTTCTGAGTCCTCTTTTCGACTAAGCCTCAACCTTGTCCTCTGTTCTGTTCTGTCTTTGGCCTGCTTAGCCCAGTTTTAGCCAGAATCTTGCTCAGTCAGTTTAGAAAGAATCCCCCACTCTTGATATCAGATCAAGTTCCTCATCCCCCACCTCTGATGTGTAAGTGTTTGGCCCGCCTTTAGCAAGAATCCTATTAAGTCAGTTTTTTCAAGAATCCTACCCTTGAGGTCTGCTCTTAATAATTTTTCATTCACTGAGCCCATCACTCTGTTGGCTATAAATCTCCCACCTGTCTTTGTTGTATTTGGAGTTGAGCTCAATTTCTCACCTCTACTGCAATACCCCTATTCCAATAGGTGCGAACAAAAAGTCCTCCTTACCATTTTAATAAGTGTGAGAATAGTTTTTCCCTAACAAGGTCAAGATTCCTGCCCTCAGGGAACTCATGTTATGAGAGGAGGGTGACTGCTGATAAACAGGACAACAGGCTGAATGTGATGAGTGAGAGGGAGAGAGCTACTATTTCAGTTGGGGTGATCAGAAAAGGCTTCTGTGTGGAGGGGACATTTGTTGTTTTAAAGGATCCAGCCATGCGATGATCCAGGGGAAAACGTATTGAGGTTAAAAGGCACAGCAAGCACCAAAGCCTCCAGGGTGAACAGAATGTCATGAGCATGCAGACAAGGAACAGGAGATCAAGTCAAGTTTAGACAGAGGTCAATGCACATAGAGAATTGCAGGCCATAGCAAGGAGGATAGGTTTTGTTCTAAGCGGGATGGGGAAACTACTTAAATGTTTCAAGCAGAGAAATGACATGATGTGGCTTTTTTCAAAAGATATCACTTTGGCCACAATGTGAAAATAGATTGTAGGCAATAGATTGTGGAAGCAGCGTTCCAGGCAAGAGCGCAGGGTGGCTGAGGTAGGGGGGTGACACTGGAGATGGAGAGCAGTGATCAGAGGCTGCGCATACTGGGAAGAAGGACATGCAGATATGTTGGAAGAGGGGGCAAAGCAAAGGAGGTGCCAAGGCTTAAGTAAGTGATAGGACGTTGTACCATTTACTGGACTGAGAAGTTTATTAAAAAAGAGGTTTTCTTTCTGCTTCCTGGTATAAGACTATCCAGAGAAAAACACATGAAGAAGAAATGGCTGAGAAAGACACCAAGTACCCATTTATTCAACAAATATTATTGAATATCTACAAATATATAAGACTAAACTCTGTATTCTATGAACATATGGATCTGCAAATGTTATTTTTTTAAAAGGCAACATTAAACACAACATTCAGGAAAATGGTTAACTCTGGGGTGGGGCATGGAGTTACACTGAGTTCTAGGTACACTGGTGTTCCAGTTATTACATGATTCATAATCATCACCCATTATATGTTATACAAATATTATTTCTAGGTATAAAATAATACATTAAAATTTTTCCCAATATTCTTGCCTGACGAACTAACCTTAACTGCAACTTCTGGGAAGGAGTTATTGGCAAATGAATCAGCTAACTATCCTTGGTTCAATCAACCATGCTCAGGAAGCAGTGGGGGAATAACGCAACCAAATATAAGCTGATGTGAATATTGAGTGCTATTATGGAAGTATATAGCAAGTGTGAAGGGAACAGTTCCCAGAAAGGCCTAAATCTACTGGAGGTACTCAATATTCAGGAATGTGGAGTTCAGGAGAGTCAGGAAAAGAGTGGCATTTTATGCAAAATCCTAAGATGTTCAAGCTTCCCTATAAAATAGGTATAAATAATAGTTATCTTGAAGGGTTGCTCTGAGAATCATAGGTTATAAAAACACTCAGTACATGGTAGGTACTTAATAAATGTTGCCTTTACTTTTCAAGTCCAAGTTTAAGGGATAATTAATAGTTCATTCTGTTCAGGTTTGTACTCAGTTTGATGGATATGGAACCACTGTGCTTTTAACTCACATACGATAAAATGCAATTGAAAAGTACTGCATTCATCAAGCTTCTACTTTTATGGTCATTGAAGTGGGCCCATGTAACTCATGTCCTCTTGTGACAAAGTACAATGTTTTTAAGGCCATGGCATCATAATAGGCTCTGAGAAACAGATCAGTAATGCTTTTCTCAAGTGCAATTTTTCTCCTCATGTCACACTGGTGCTGTTATCAATGGTTATTGAGTACTGGGGAGAAAAAGATGCTGCATTCACCATAAAGCATAAAGAATCAAATGGAACAGATTATGAATTCAATATTGAATAAGATGGGAATCCATTATCAAGGTTCTCAATAAAATTCATGTATATAAAGATTCTCAAAAGCACAGTAGTTGACTCTGTATGTTATGTGGAGACAGGAACTCTTATCTAAAGGCAAGATGAAAGCTGAATAACAGTATTATATCTAGAACTATAAAAGCAGGCGGACTATGAAATTAATTTTATTGGAAGATCTACTCCTCATGGTATGTAGCATCTTTAAAAATCAGAAGATACAAAATATTTGTTCAAAAAATTTAACCCATCAATTAATTCTTCACCTCCTCTTCCCATTGACTGTATCTTGTTCCCTAGCGATGGCATAAACTGTTGCCAGCTGATAGCTCAGCTTTGTGATTCCAATATATTTGTATTTAATAATAAAGATTACACTGGTATAAGGAGATTAGCATGATTATTTTAGAAACATCAGATGCTGTAATTCTGATAAGGGATGTTTGATAGACAATAATAAAGATGCAGAGGAAGAGTCTAAACTCAATGATTGAAATCAACTTTTCTAAGATTATACAACCCTATTAAAAAAACAAACAAATGAAATGTTATTTTTATTAGAGATAAATGTGTTCTATTTAACCCAGCTTCAAATAATAGTAAATGTTTATATAGTTCTTACTGTATGCGAGACACTGTTCTAAATGCTTTATGCATGATAACCCTGTTCACCCTCAAACACAGACAGACAAAAAAGCCCTGAAGTGTTATTAATATTATCATCCCATTGTGCAAATGAAAAAAAAAAAAAGTGAGGCACAGAGGGAGTAAGTCATGTTCCAAGTAGTATGCAAAGTAGGGAGTGGCAGAGCTGGGATCTGAGCCCAGAAAGTCTGGCTTTAAAGGATACATTAACAACTTTATAAGACACCCTCTCAAGTCTGTTATAAGATGCATTTGTTGAATATATCTCACAGTAGGTCACAACCAAAATCATTTAATTATAAACTCAAAAGTGTGTAAAATTGAGGTCTTGTATTTTGAAAGCTAAATTTTAGCAATTCAAATTTTTGACAATTTTAATGTTTGGTATGCATTATTTAAACTATAAGGGAAATAGGAGCATGTATTTAGTCTAATAACTTTAGTCCAATACTCTAATACCTTGAAGATCAATCCAAAGTTTACACACACATATACACTACCAAGGATGCATTTAGAAAGATATCAGACCAATATATATATATATATTTTGTCCTAATGATTAAGAGCTGCTACATTAGTTGGTGAGCCTTTGGGATGCTAACCATTCTGCTCTTGCAAGACAGTCCCACATAACAAAGAACTGTCTTACCCAAAACGACAATAGTGTCCCACTGAGAAAGACTGAACTGCTGAATATTTCCCTGTAAATCAGGTTTACATTTTCCAAAGTGAGCTTGCCCATTTTTTGAAATAGCTGGCACAGAAGAAATTATCAAAGGATACATTTACATCAAGATATTTGTAATATGCAAGAATAAAGACCTTTAAAAAGGGCTTTTGAATTCATTTCGTAGGAATATTAAATTCTTACAATTTTCATTGACTTGGAAAGTAGCTGGAATGAGCTGGCCCATTAAGTTTATTCACTTTGCATTCCAACAGAATGTTTCTGAAGTTAGACTCTCCATCATGCCTTGACTTTAATTCAAATTGAAATTGCTATTATAATGCCCTTCATTCCCTAAGAATGTGTACCTGTGCTTATTGAAAGTCAGAGTGAACTGTCATAAATGCTGCATGATTTTAATTTGCACATTCAGTTTATTTTAGCACTGAAAAATAAGGAATGACAAGTGGGCATGATTTAATGGGGAAATAAGAGACTTTTCAGCCAAATATGTAGGGTTAAAAGCTGATTTTACCATTTTCTAAAAAAAAAAAAAAAAAAAAAAAGTCGCTTAATTTCCCAACCCTTTATTTCTTGCCTCTGAAAATGGAGATGTTATAACCCCCTGCCCTAGCTAGCCCATAAAGCTACAGTAAGGATCAAATTTCAAATTCCTTGTGAAAACAGTGTATGAATGATAACACATTATTAATAACACCAACACTAATGATGTAATAGCAGAGCATTTGATTCTTTATTCTTAGTGATAAAGGGAGGAAAAGGAGAATTTTCATTACTTTTTCTTATTTCTCCTTAGTCGTGACCCCTGAATATCTTTGGCAAAACTGAGGAAAGGAAAATAATATCATCTACATATTAATTAAGTAACCAAGTGAGAAAAGTTAATGTGCTTTGTCCTGCTTTATGATGTACCTAATGAGCTACATTAAACAATGATGGTGCTAAAGAAATGACAGCCCTGTGATTGGGGGCATGCAAAGAACTCTTCCAAGATCCTCTCCAAGAGGAAAGGTCACACTGCCCACTACACTATGTGCTCTCCTAACAGGTTGGTCTTATTCGGATTTGGAACTCCTATAATGGCTGCTGGAACATCTGGGCATGTAGTAGGCACTCACATATATCTGTTTATCAACTGATTACTTCTAAAAAGCCAAACCACCTTACTTGAAGACGCCATAAGAAAAATTTCCAAATCTCTAAGTTAATGTAAGTAGATTTCAGAGTCCAACCCCTCAAATCTCCAGTTTTATTCAGGTGTTTGGATAAATCCCTCTCTATTTCAGTTACAAAGTTATCTTTTTTTAAGATTATTTATTTGAGAGAGAGAGAAAGTGAGAGAGAGCATAAGCAGGGGAGAGGAGCAGACAGAGAGAAAAAGCAGATTCCCCTGCTGAGCAGGTAGCTGACAATGAAGCAGGGCTCCATCCCAGGACACAGGGTTCATTACCTGAGCCGAAGGCAGACACTTAACCCACTGAGCCAGCCGAGTGCCCCTCCATTGTTATCTTAATGAACTTCTAAAAATCTTTGTTTTGTTCCTCTATCTCAGGGAGCCCACATACATGCAGTTTGGTTATCTTTTGTAACACTATCGTTAATTTCCTTCAACACTCCTCTGTTTTTCACAAGTTAACATCCTTCCCATAATGAATGGTCAAATTCTTGAGCTATTTTTGAGTTTTCAGTGCTATCTAGTATATATTTTACCACTATAATATCACTATCTATGTACTCCCTTCCATCTCTGTTATCCTACTTTAGGCTCTAATTACATCTATTTTAAACTATTATAATACTTTCTCAGTTTTTAAAATTAAAACTTGGCAAATAATTATTGGGAACTTACTCTGAAAATATTCACTAAGTACTAAGGATTCCAAGAAATGGTCTTTGCTCTTGTGAAGAGTATGATGGAAAAAACAAACCATAGGCAGAGGCCTAAATTTTATCCGTTTTATAGAACACACAGTCAAACTAATCTTCATTTAAACACAGCTTGGAGGATGTCTTCCCTCTGTCAGAGGAAGGAGGGAAAACATCCTTGTATACAGCACCTTCCATACTCTGGCTCCAGCTGTAATCTGCTTTGTTATTTCTATATCTCCTTACCTGTAGCAGGAATTCCAAAAACCTGAATGGATGCTTTTCAAGTTTGTAATCTTAATAATCTCTTTGTATAAAACTATAGGACACCATAGTGATGGGGACCTTAGACTAGACTCTAAGGCCATCCTTTACAGACATAGAAGTGATTTTCTCAGCTAGTGACAGAACTGGGACACAGTGGGCTCCGGCTTTCCATTCCAGAACTCTTGCTATGATACCAGGTGCCTCCCCTGGTGGGGATGGGAAATGAATCAGATGCTCTGTTTAAGTGTAGGCACCAACAATTGTGGCAGCCAATGTCTTAAGGCATTGTAAAGAGCTAGAGAAGATGCAGAGATTCCTCTAGCTACAAGCCCTAGGTACCAGTTCCCGTCCTCTTTAGAGAAAAATCACTTCAAAGGGGAAAGGAATAAGAATGAGGGTCATATTAAATATATAAATGGGGCTTCTCCGGAAGTAACAAGAGAGTAAATCTGTGGGGGGTCAGGACCTCAATCCAGTGTTGACTACAGGGTTAATTACTGGCGTATTTCTCTTTTGGAGAAACCCCCTCCCCACACTCAGGTGTCCCTCTTTGTCCACAAGCCCCAGGGACTGTAATGATCAGCTTTCCTCCTCACTGTAGTGATCTGCTGCATACAAGATGGGTTTCATAATGCCTCTAAGGCATTAGGGGACCAAATCTAGTTTCCTTTTTTCTTTCATTCATAAAGCAAGTAGTGTAGTGTAGCACTTCAGAACTTTTCTAAAACATTTTTATGCAAGTGAAAAAGAAAACTATGGGAAAGAGTAATTCTCATGGTGGTCACTTTCCCCAGTAAAGTTAGTGTATGTATAGTAAATGGTGATTGTGATGACCAGAAAATTAGTCTATATTTCAGAGAACAACCCAGATTTGGGATAATTTTCAAGTTTCATCCTAAGAATCAAAGTGAAGCTCAGGGGATAGGGGTGGAGGTGGGGACGGTCATCCTAAGATAAAAAGAGGAGATGCTAGGACATCAGGATGTTACAGGTAATAGTAGCCCTGAGGCTGATGACCTGGTGCAGTGGAAGGGCAGAAACACAGAAATTTAAGTCTCCCCTCCTCTTCTCCCCTTCTTTTCATCACTGCAATCCCACCCATGCAGATCCTTCAGTAGATGGAACTTTGGTATAAGATGAAGAGCGACCCTGGATAAGAACACAGACCACATGAGAATGTATGTAAGAAGAAAAAAGAGGAAGACCAGAAAAAAATTCAATCCAGAAAGAACAAAAAAGAAAGCGCTGTTAAGGATGACACAATATGAAATATGTAAACCCAAGGAATGACCCATAATGACAGTAAAAACACCGAGCCATTTAAAAAACTGCCTTGAGGGGTGCCTGGGTGGCTCAGTCAGTTAAGTGGCTGCCTTCAGCTCAGATCATGATCCTGGGGTCTTGGGATCAAGCCCCACATCAGGTTTCCTGCTCAGTGGGGAGTCTGCTTCTCCCTCTGCCTCTGACCCTCCTTCCTGCTTGTGCTCTTTCTCTGTTTCAAATAAATAAATAAATAATTTAAAAAATTTTAAAAATGCCTTGATTCTTGATTTTGCCTTGATTGTGGTTAGTTCTTCCATGGATAGTAAAGTCTTAATACCCTTAGACAGTCAACATATTTCCGTGGCAAAATGTAAACAGAATATTAGAAAAAAAAATTTTAGGCTTACATTTTGTCCATTAATGCCAGCCAGGCCTGGATCTCCTTTTTCTCCTCGTTCACCCTAGAAAGAAACAATTTATACAATGAAAAATGTTATAGCCTGAGAACCTGTACTAAGAAAAAACAAGAGCGTTACATTGTCGGGGCATTTATAACAATGTGATTACTTTGCTAATCCCTTGAAAGAAACATTTATTAAAAAACAATTCTGAGTCCTAAAACCAAAGAGAAGTTTAAAGGTTCAAAGAAAATCTGTATAAAAATGATTAAATGGTAGAAATAGAACAAGGATTATTTATTTTCTTCTATAAGCAACAAAGAACTTTCTGGAGGGCAATTTGGCAATATATATCAAGAGTCTTAAATCTGTTCATTTAATTTGGCCCAGTAATTCTGCTTCCAAGAATGTATCCTAGGGAAATAATCAGAGATGAAAAGTTTTAGGCACTAAATTGTAGAGTGCAATGCTATTTATAGCAGTAAAAAAGAGACATATCCTAAATGTCCAATAATAGGGAACTGATTAAATAAATTATGGTATATAAATATAATGCTATATAATGCAACCATTAAAATCATGTTTATGAATTTTACTTTATACTACAGGAAAATCCTTACGATGTAAAAAGTAAGATACAATTAAGGGATTGATAAATTCAACGAATAAATGTTAACAAATACCTTTTTTTTAACTTTAAAACTACAAATGTTCAAAATGACCATTTATACCAATTGTTTATGATACATACCCATAGTGACATATATTTTTGATTATCATCTGAAAGATGTATACTTTTATTGGCAAATGCTGCACATGTCTAACATTATTCAAAACAATTAAATACCTGTTTACCTATGCATCTACCTACCTACTTACCTACCAACTTATGTATCCACCTACTATGGGTCTTAGAAACAATACTGGAAGAAGACAAACCAGAACAATAGAAGTGGTTAATCTATGGATTCTGTGATTATGGGTGATTTTTTTTTCCTTCACTATGTTCTTCTTTTTCAATTTTTTAAAACAATAAATATATCTTAGCTCTATAATCAGTAAAATGTCTAAAAATAAAAGAATATATTATGCATATAAAGAACTCATCCAAGTTGCCAGGTCTATCATGTAACACAGTGTGTGTGTATATGCATGTATGTAATAGTATTTGTAGTAATCTCTGCTTTGTGCCCCTAGGATGATTTTTATCCTCTTCTTTATTCTGTTGTTCCTCTTCCTTCATTTTTTTCTTACAATGAACACTATTATTTTTATATGCAAAAAAAAAAAAAAAAAACACCTAAAGAAAAGCATCTGACTTTATGAGAAATACATTAATACTAACAATAATACTCTGTATTATTACATCTAAGACTTTGTATTCATCCAAGACTATGTATTATTACAATATTGAAATCATCTAAGACTATGTATTATTATTATATCATCTAACACTATGTATTATTATACTATTGAAAACACAGGATATGAAGTAAAAAAACTTAATACTGGAATATAAGAAATATATATAATACGAGGATAAACAAAAGTGTATACAAACACATTCAGTGAAATAGGTTCAAGTTAGAATAAAGCTGAAAATTTTAAACTGAAAATGGAAGGGCAAGGAAACTCTAGAGCTATGCTGTTCAATGTGGTAGCCACCAGCCACACGTGGCTATTTACATTTAAATTAATTAAGATTAAATAAAATCAGGGGAGGAGCTAGATGGTGGAGGAGTAGGAGACCTAAATTTCGTCTGGTCCCAGGAATTCAGCTGGATAGGGATCAAACCATTCTGAACACCCACAAACTCAACAGGAGATCGAAGAGAAGAATAGCAGCAACTCTCTGAACAGAAAAGCGACCACCTTCTGGAAGGTAGGACGTGCGGAGAAGTGAATCTGAGGCGATATTCGGGAGGATAGACGGCGGGGGAGGGGGCCTCCGTCAGCCGCTACCGGCAAGTGATAGAGCCGTGGAGCACAAAATCGGAACTTTTAGAAGTCTGCTTGGCTGAGGGACGTCACTCTAGTGGCTAAGTGGGGGGTGGAAACCTCGTGGGGACAGTGTGGTCTCAGGACCCTTGGGGTCACAGAACGACCAGGGGTGCCTGTGTGCGGCAGAGCTCCCAGGTATCGGATTGGGGAAGCC